GTACCCGGCTCGGCCCCGGCTCCGTCCTCCCTCTGTCTCTGGCAGCAGCTGCCTGCCGCTGTGCTTGGCCAGGGGAAGGGAGCCTGATGAACCCAGTGCCGCCCAAGGCGGGCAGAGTGCTTTTGGGAACCATGTTTTGCTCTGCCCCAGCCTGGGAAAGGTGAGTATACAGCTGAAATTGAGGGTCTGTCGCATGGCTCCTTGTGTCCTGGAGCTCTGGGCTGGTGCTGCTTTTCCTTGCTTTCAGTTCATGATGCTGGGTCAGGATGGGCATGGGCAAACAGCTGTAGGCAGAGCCCTTGGGGAGCCTGAGGCTGAAGGAACTTGAAGATAATTTGGCCAATTTCTTCCCGCCCACCCAACAGCCAGGCTAAAAATAAGGCTTTGCTTTATGCCGTGCATGAAAATAAAGGAGACTGAAAAAACAGCAGTCTTGGATCATAGCATTTAAGTTGTTTCTTGGGTTTAAAGCCCAGATATGGTCTTGTGTGCCTTGATGGGGGTTTACATAACCAGTGCCACTGGCTGGGAAATCCCACTGAAAATAAGGCACGTCCCCTTCACAATGGCAGAGACTAACCAGCGTGATGAGCTGCTGGAAGAGGCAGTAGCATCCTGTGTGCTTGAAGGCTGTCCAGTCTGTCCTGCCATATGCCCATGTGCAGCCTAGGAGCTGGCTAAAAAGCCAGTGTGTGCCACCGGGATGGCCCGGCCAGGAGTCTCAGGAGCACTCTGGCTAGGAGCCTGCAAGTTTTGAACAAAGCAGGCATGTAGGATGGGAGAAGAGTCTATGAAGCCCCCACACCTTCTTTCAGCCATCCACAGGTCTTGCAGAGAGGGGGGACAGAAGGGACCTAAGGGTGGGAATGGGGAATCCCAGTAACTCCCTGACGGCCCTGCCTGTTCCTCCACGCAGGATGGTTCCCCCACCACCTGTCAGCAAACCCCACGTGTGTATCTCCACTGTGCTCATCATGACCAGCCTCGTCCTCATGGATGCCTACCTGGTGGAGCAGAGCCAGGGCTCCAGGAAGCTGGGCATCTGTGTCATGGTGGCAGTGGGTGATGTGTGCTTCCTGCTGGTGCTCCGCTATGTGGCCATCTGGGTCGGGGCAGAGGTAAAGACAGCTAAGCGAGGCTACGCCATGATCCTCTGGTTCCTATATGTCTTTGTTCTGGAGATCAAAGTCTACTTTGTATACCAGAACTATAAAGCTGACCGGAAAAGCCTAGATCTCATAGCCCGCAAAGCGCTGACCTTGCTGCTCTCCATCTGCATCCCAGCCCTCTATGTGTTGTTGGTGGCCACGGAGCGCATGGAGTATGTCAGGACATTCAAGAAGAAAGAAGATCTGCGCAACCGCCTCTTCTGGGTCATTGTGGACATGCTGGATGTGTTGGACATCCAGGCCAACCTATGGGAGCCCCAGAAGAAGGGGCTGCCGCTCTGGGCTGAGGGCATCATGTTCTTCTATTGCTACATCTTGCTCCTTGTCCTCCCTTGCGTGTCCCTCTGTGAGATCAGCATGCAAGGGATTGGCATCATGCCGCACCGGATGATGCTGTACCCCATGCTGAGCATGCTCACCGTCAACATCACCACCATCTTCATCCGAGGCAGCAACATGGTCTTCTTCAGGGATGCCCGGGTCTCTAGCATCTTCATGGGCAAGAACATGCTGGCCATTGGGCTGAAGGTCTGTACGTTTGTGCAGTACCAGCGGCACCGGCACCACGCGCCCCTGGGGCTGGATCCAGCCCTGCAGCACAGTGCCCAGGCCCAGCCCACCCCAGGGCTGCACAAGTCCCGGGACCAGCCCACCT